GCTCCATCTGATCAACAAGGTGTCTCTACTTTTGTTGGTTGGGTCTCAAATATCTTCAAGCCCTGTATGACCTCCTGGAGTTTTTGAGTTTAACACTTTATCGTATTTCTATTTAAGCATATGCAGATTAGTACTCAGCCAAAAACTCAGAGACTCCTTTTCAGTTTTGTGGATATTTTTCTCTACATAACTCCTTCCTATCAGGTACTGCACCTTTTACTATTCTACTGCCTCTGCTTCCCTGATCTCCATTCTGTGTCTCCGTAACTCAGCCTTCTCTGCTCTGTCCCAGTTTCTTCTTCCTACTCCATGGTTTAGGACATCCTGCAGGCAGACAGCTGAGACAATCACAACACTCACCTTGGCTTTTTCTCTTCTGTCAATATTTAGAGTACCATACTCTTTATAGTCTGAAAACTTTTATTTCCTATATTGTCCTATTTTCTAGTTGTTTATGGCAAAAGGGGAAAAAATTCTTTTTAGGTTTAATTAAGATTTAAGTACTTTAACACACTGCCTGGGGCATAGAAAAAGTGCTCAAAAATGTGAGCTGTTATCACAGTCATAATTCTGATATATCATCACTTTTTTATTATAATTATAGAGGAATAGTAGCAGTAATGTCTATATAAGGGAAAATACAATCTATAAAAGCAGAGACAATGTTCATCTTGCTTCATAAATGCTTTCAATCCAAAGATTCAGACTGAACCTACAACTATAGTTATAAACATAGCTAACTACCATGAAAGCTGAGGGCATCATCATGTATATAAGCCTTTGGCTTAAAGCCAAGCCAACATGGAGGTTTTACTTCATTGACATGACAACAGAATCCAACAAGTCTAATAGCTGTTGTCTGTTTTCATAGATCATAATTATGCAAAACTAAAGAGAAAACAAAGTCAGAATATTAGTTATAATTGACAAGTAAATTTATGGGTTTTTTTTAACAGAACCCTATAGAAGTATTTTATATTTCTGTAGAATAGAAAATTGACAGTGAGACACCCTACAGTAGAAACCATACAGTAGTGTTTTTATATTCCTTCAACTAAAACCTTGTTCCTTATTGAAATGCCTTGGAGAAAAAATCTAA